AGATTCATACATCTTCTCACAAACTCTTTTTCTCTCTATGACTTTGATACTTAAGTTCTATAGACACTACAAAAAAAACCGAATTTGGCTAGGGGTTAAACCCCTCACTAAATCAAAAAATCCATCACAAAACCATAATTTGCAAGGGGACAAAACCCCTAGCTAATCAGGGCATCACAAATAATTGGTGAGGGGATAAGCCCCTCGCAAAAATGGCTAGGGGTTAAGCCCTTCGCAAAATGTAATGAAAAAAAATCCTCCTCCTGCACCACAGACTAGAGTCAGAGAGGGGTTCAGACCTGTCACAACAGATTGCGAGGGGATAAGTCCCTAGCTAAGTCACGTGATTTCTAAAATTAGTGAGGGGCGAATCCCCTAGCCAGCTGTGTAATGCATTTGCGAGGGGTTAAACCTCTAGCCAACTGTCCCACGTTTTGGGATTAGCGAGGGGTTAACCCCTAGCCAATAATTATATATATATATTAATTAATAATCATATTAAAATAATTATATTAGAATAATAATATATTATATAATAAATTTTTATTACATTTTATAATTATATTATTATAATTAGAATAATATAATTATATAATAAAAAATATATATTTTAATATAATTATATAATAAATAAAAATATATATTTTGTAAAATAATAATTTAGAACTAAAAGTGTAATAAAAGTAAATATTCAAATCCATCATCAAAATAAAAATAATTCATGAAAAAATAAAATAAAATATAAAAATATATATAATTCATGACACATTTAGTCAACTTCTTCATCATCATCCTCATCCTCCTCGTCTTCCTCATCTCTTCCTCCCACACCTTGATTCATATGCATTGCCATAAATTGTTCAAATTTCAATGCGCGCTCATTTGCAATCCGCATTGCTTCCTCATACTCCGCTGTTTTTCTCCTCAATTCTTCCTCCATCTGAGCTTGTCTTCTCCTCATTTCCTCCATCTCTACTTGTCTAGCTGCTGCCTCACGTGCTGCCTCGGTCTGAGCCAAATTTCTCACAGTTTCAAGCATATCAGTGGTTAATATAGGTGGACGCGATGATCCTTCTCCATCATCAAGTCTCATCCTGAAAGTCCTATCACGCCGCTTAATTGTTTTGGCATACCCTCCAGCACCATACACCCTTCCATTTTTCCTCTTCCCGCGAGCAACATCATACCAAGTCTGAAAACCTAGACAAGGATCAACAGGGTATCCCTGTGGTGGTGGAGGTAACTCAGGATGCTCAGATAAAGAAAGTGCAAGTCTTCGATCATACTCCTCCTATACAAAAAATTTAGATGTTATAATAATTTAAATAAGATGACTAAATAACATGTTATAAAAGAAAGAAATAAAATGACTAAATTTTAGCAAAACTTACTTGAGTTTCCTTTGAGCGTTTATCGACAAACTCCCCATTTTTCTTGATATGAGTCTCTAGATGGATCTCATTAAGCATCGGAGTTCTACCAAACTCATCACGCTAATAAAATAAAACAAATAAGTGAAAAAAATAGTTTGTTTTAATCTAAGTTTTAAATGAAAACTTAAGTAAAATAAATATATTTACCAGCCTATGTGCAATTTCAGCAACACTAATACTTTCTGCTGCGTAGTTGCAGCCACCAATTTCAGATGCCCTGTTTTTTGTTGCTTTTCCAGATATTTGCTTAAAGGTTTTCGAATTCCAATGGTCAATAAGCTGCTTAAATACATCTTCACCTATCCAACAGGGACGTGCTCTTTTATTTTCCCAATTAATTCGAACACGTCTAAGTGTGTCGGATAATCAGGCAGCACATTTTGTATCAAAATTTTCTCTTACTTGTTGCTGCTCTGTAAAGTCCCAAACACATTTCTCCTACATTGTTTTATGAATTTTAAAAAATTAAATAATGTTAAATCATGAAATAAACTAAATATATAAGAAATTAAAATAATAGTTACTTTTATACCTGAAATAAACTAAACCAATCTTCCTTTTCTGTTTCGAGAAGTGCTCCATATGTCGGCCAACACACATAATTTATTTCATAAAAATATACATAAATATGTTATGTTAAAATTTGTTTTATCAACGGCCACCAACACACATAATTTTCGAAATAAATATTCATCTAAAATTTTAAGAAAAAACAAAAGTGTGTACCTTTTGATCTTCTTCCAAATTCCTAGATCCTCTTGACAAAAATTTGATAGCTTATATTATCCACAATACATGCAACACAACAAATAAATAAAAAAATTAATTAATTAATCTAAACAATAAAATAAACTATAAATACGAAAATAATATAAATAAATAAAATAATTTACTTTTATCACATGGAATAAAAATGTTGGAACATGAAGGAGGAAGAAGAAGAATAGGGAAGAAAAACTTTGAAAATGAAATGGAAAAGAAGAAGATTGTGGGAGAAATGGAGAAGAAAGAAGGGAATAAACGTATAAATGTGTGGCTGTTACAGTGTGAAATAAATTTGGCATTTAATATTTTATTTTGCGAGGGGCAACTCCACGCAATACTCAACGGTCACATGATGTAGCGTCATTTGCAAGGGGCCCCTCCACGCAGGATATCAGTAAGCATTTTGCGAGGGGCATCCCCTAGCCACCTTTCGCGTGTGGCAGACCATTTTGCAGAGAAATGCAGAGAAATAAATGCTTTTTCAGTGGGATTTGGCTAAAGTAGGACAAGTGGTGAGGGGATGCCCCTCGCAAATTGTGAACGTGACGTGGTGAAGGGCTACCCCCTCGCAAATTATTCAGCTTTTCCACCAAAAACTGCGTTGAGCCCTAGTAAAAGTACATTTCAAAATTCAAAAAAATTTCCCTCATTCATTGCGAGGGGTATCCCCTAGCTAAATGTTTATATTTTTTCTCTCTCCTATTTTGCATTTTGCGAGGGGTTTAACCCCAAGCAAATGGTTTTATTTTAGTGAGGGATTTTCCCCATAACCCATGCCCCTAGCTAATTTAATGTTTTCTTGTAGTGAGAGGATACTTAATGAATTTTGCGACCCTTGTTTACATGAATTAACTCGTCTTATATATTATTACAATGTTAATAGTTGATAACAATTATCTTCGCAAAAATCGACACGTACTCCCTTACGTAAGCTTCAGCCTTCTAGTCAGTTTTCACGTGTCTTCTACAATTAAACAATTTTGAACTGCTTTTGTTGTTTCAAACCGTCTTTTACATCTACTAACTGCTTCTATCAAAAAATTTCTCTGTTGAACCTTGGAGCATAATGTCGATATGATTTAGCTACTTGTACTTAACCTATGAATTTATCTCATTTATATTTCTATCAAATATGTCAAATCACCATAAATTTTTTCGAAATTCTAAACATATTTTGAAGAGAGTGATTCTAATTTTATGGATATATTTCTGAGATTCTTCTAAACCAAACTTAGTAGATTTCTAAGTTATCTAAACCTTGAACTCAAAATAGACTAAGTCCCAAAACATTTGATAAATAAGTCGAACTCACCAATTTAATTAAAGTTATTAAAATGTCAAAACTACGACTAGGTTGTTTTATACTTAACAATCTCATATCTTTATATCAAATATTTATTATCAAAATACTACACCAATATTTTCAAAGCTAACAACGTGATACTATTTATTGACACCACACACGAATAAACATACTATATAATTTTAGTGTTATTGAAACCAACAATGATATAGAAAATATGTGGGAGAATTCAGGAGTGGATGCTCAGTCTAATGTGATTGTTCAACGACAAAAATTATTCAATCAATGGTGACTTTTACGATGTTTGGTATGATGGGTTGATTTCAATATTTTAAAAATTAAAAGTTATAGTGCCCAAAAAAATATTAATACAAAGCCATAAGTTTAAGCTCAAACCAAATCGAGCCAACCAAACAGACTGTGCGTGATATTAACAATTGATATCACGAAAAGACCATATCATTAGACCTATGTAAAAACAGACAAAATGTTTGTGGAAGGATTTGAGAGTAGAAGCTCAGTCAAACGTGACTGCTCAAGAATCAAAACTTGTTCAGGTAATGTTAAGTGTACCGGTGTTCGATCAAAGATGATCACACTCATTCAAAATATCATATCAATTTCAAATTCAACTTTTTTTAACACCCAAAACATAATACTAAACCACAAGCCCAAACTCCAACCGAACCGGCCGGACCATACGTAATATTAACGACTCTCTTTCGATTTGCAAAATTTCTGTATCTCTCGGGACTATCTTCATCATATAAACCCTTGAGAAATGTGAAAGTCTTCAAATACGTGACTCAATGAGTTTTCTCAATTCAGTACCAACCCTTATAATTTACCAGTAACACATGCTTGGCTAGTTTTCCAATATTAAACGTTCCATTAATAAAATTGAACTAGAATGTAAGTATAGTTATGTCATAAACTACTAACATAGACGCAAATACGAACTTGGTGTTTGTCTCAGTTTGGAATTTTTTATTCATTCTAGTTCATTGTTTCAATTTTGTATTTGGTATGCAAACAGGAATTTGTGTTTCAACGGACAACTTGTTCTTACTTCAAAAGAAATCAATTTAAAGTCTTCAAAATATAATAAAATCATTTAATAAATATTAAAACTGAATTGAAACTAATTTAACCATTAATTAAATTTTTTATCAAAAAAGTCATTAAAAATAAAATTAAAACTAATATGACTCGATTAAGTTCATGAATCTAGAATCTCATGGAAGGAGAGTAAAAAATAAATATTTGACTTTTAGAATCTGACCCATAAAAAATCTAATAACTTAAAATAATAATATTATCTATGAAAATATATAGATAGATAGATGCACTATATAAATATTAATACTACATAATACATACCTCACCGCCCCATACTCACACCCATTCATTTCTTTCATCTTCTCTTTTCTCTTCCACTTCCCTTCTCCTTCTTTCTCTCCTTTTTTTTTATTAATAATATTTTATTTTTCGAAAATAAAATGATATATCCAATTTCAAAAGTCACGGCGATTTCCACCTTATTGACCTTACCTCCACCTTCTTCGCATTTCTCCTCCAAACCTAACGCCGCCGTTAAACTCTCCGTTAAACCTCCCTTGAACAACACATTAACAGCCTCCTCGTCAACACCGTCGCAATCTCGCGGAGTAACCGACAAGCTCAACGGCCTGGCCTCGGAATTCGCGTCTCTCTCGGAACCAATCGAGCGCGTTAAACGGCTATTGCACTACGCGTCTCTCTTGCCTCCGTTAGACCGGTCCGACCGGGTTCCGGAGAATCGTGTATCCGGTTGCTCGACGGAGATTTGGGTGGTGGCGCGTATGGATTCAGGGAGGAAGATGAGGTTTAAGGCGGATAGCGACTCGGAGATTTCGAAGGGGTTCTGTTGGTGTTTGGTGTGGATGCTGGACGGGGCGGAACCCGAGGAGGTGCTTACTGTGGAGAGAGATGATTTGGTGAGAATGAATTTAGGGTTGAATATTGTTAAATCGCGTTCGAGGATTAACACGTGGCATAACGTTTTCTTTGCCATGCAAAAAGCTACTCAGGATTTGATTTGATAATTGGTGGGATGAATTTCTTTCTCTATTCTTGAAAAACATGTAATTCATAGTTTGATGCATTTTAGGATATAGTTATTGTAGGTTAGTTAATGATATAGGATATAGTATTAGTAAAACTCTGGAATTTGTTTCTGAATGGAGAAATTAATGGCTTTCAAATACTATATGTTATTTTTTCCATGGCATATTATATATTATTTACCGATGTGTTTTTGGAAAAAAAAGAATTTTGTGTACAATGGTTTGAGAGATGATGTGTAAGAATTTGAAATTAATTCTGTATAGAAGTCCTTTTCGTTATAGATTAATGAAAAAGGGTGAGGTTATATGTAATATGGTGTTTTACATATTCTCAAAGATGGCCTTTTTTTTTTTGGAATGAGATGATCAAAATTATGATTAATTTGGGAGTGAGTCAAATGGGTGATTTGGTTGACTAGAAATTGGGAAATTTTGTTTGATTGATGGAAGATGAATGTGAAATCTATGAAGCCTGGCGAAAATAAAGGGGGTCATTATCTTTCTTACAAGTGGAATGGTAAAAAAGTGGAATGTCGAATCCATGGACATATTGTTGTATTGTATGGAGGTAGCTTATGCTTTTTTTTTCTTCTCTTTCTTGGGTTCGTTTCCTCCCAACTACATTGCGGAAATTTTATAAATGGGTTCAGAGTATTTCTCATATTTTATTTTTATATTGTTGTAATTTTATTGGTGTTGAATTGGTGAAATCTCGATTGTCTCTATATGATTATGTGAATCTATCGCAACCTTCTTTACTTTTATTGGTCTATCTATACTCGAATCTCTTCAATTCTGATTTGTTGATAGACATGTTAGATGATGGTTTGTCTTCTTGTTTGAACATGGTGGTTATGACTGTTAACAATTTTGGATAATGGTTTGTCTTTTTGTTTAAATATGGTGGTTATGACTGTTAACGACTTTGTTCGGTTGTCGCTTTCGACTATTCTGAGAATAATGATACACAATTTCTTAAGCATAGGGCAGAAGAACGATGCAATTTAAATAAGAATCTTACCACTATAATTCAGATTCGTAATTAAAAGGAGTTGTCTCAACCATCCGATATCTAATTGATTGACTCCGGTCATAGTTAGTCCACCCTCTTAAGTATTCTTCTTGCCCCAGACAATCACAAATATATTTTTTGCTTTGTTGTTTAAAAGAAGCTAAATTAATTTAGACAATTACAAATATTAATTAAAATCAGACAATTAGTAAACGCATTTTTGTAATTGTGGTTTTCAATCAATCTTTATTAAAACATTTTGCATAAGATTAGATTCATCATAATGAGTTTTGCTAAAGAATTTTCTTAGACAATTACAAATATTAATTAAAATTAGACAATTGAGATTATTAATTTTGTAATTTTGGTTTTCAATCAATCTTTATTAAAACATTTTGAAAAAAATTAGATTAATCATAATGGATTTTGCTAACCAATGTTCTTAAAACACTCGTTAAAAATTTCAAATAAAGAAAATATTCTATATAAAAATTAATCATTTCAATTTTTAATATATTAAATACGCATATTTTTAATAAAAAATTGTTATTTTCAATTAAAATTGCTATTTTAAAATTTAAAAAAATATTTATAAGATATTCTTTAGCACTTCTCTAGGAAGTGTTTTGCTAAAGAAATATAGTTATTAGCTTATATGTGTAAATATATGTATTATCTTTTTTCTTTTTTCTGGTATATAGATAATATATATTAGTGTGCTTAGCTGGCAGGGATTATTGGGCCTTCGTTCATTATATATATAGTCTTTTGTAGTGTACTGAATAGTTGAGTTGAATGTAACAGTTAAGCTTTTCCTCTTCTTCTCTCAATGAGTTCAGTGTTTGATTTCTATTACACGAATCTTGATTTCTGTTACACACATTCAACCGTTGTTACTATGGTATCAGAGTTAACAAAGCTCTGGTAGCCATTGTACTTTTTCTTTGCGATTGCATTTCTTTACTTCTTCTCCAATCGCGTTTCTTCTTTTCTATTATTTCTTGTTTTTTTAATGGCAAACTAGAGCTATGCTGATTTTCTACCAATTCTGCAAATCTCTATTACCTTCATCCGAATGAGAATTCAACACTCGTTCTTGTTACGCCATTGCTCAACGATAAGAACTACCACACCTGGACTCGGTCGATGCAGATTGCGCTCATATCCAAGAACAAGGATAAGTTCATTGACATAACCCTAACAAAGCCTCCCGTTTCAGATATGTTGTATGCGTCATGGATTTGTTGTAATACCATGGTTCTTGCGTGGATTCAATGTTTGATTTCATAGTTAATAGCTAAATCGGTTCTATGGATTGACAATGTTGTTGGTGTGTGGAAGAATTTGTAGATTAGGTTTTCTCATGGAGATATCTTCCGCATTTCTGACATTCAAGAGGATCTCTACAAGTTCCGTCAAGGTACTCTCGATGTATCTAACTATTTCACTCAATTGAAAGTCATGTGGGATGAGTTGGAAACCTATCATCCAATCCCTTTCTGCTATTGCGATATCCCTTGCTCATGTGGTGCAATTGCATCAGTATAATTGTATAGAGAACAATACTATGTCATCAGGTTTCTCAAGGGATTAACTGAAAAATTTGCTCATTCAAAGTCACAAATTATGATGATGAATCCCTTACCTGACATTGACAAAGCTTTCTCACTCGTTATTCAATAAGAAAGAGAAATGGATAACTTTATTTCTAGTGTGATTCTTGCTGCACACACCAATGAAGAAGTAATTGCCTTGCAGACTTAAGCTCATGACAACAATTATACCGCCAAAAGTGGTAACACCAATTTTTATGCTAAGAGTCAAAACCAAAATGCTCCACGAGGCCACATTAGAGTCTGCACACATTATGGCAGAACTAATCACACAGTTGAAACCTGTTGTCTTAAGCATGGATTTCCACAAGGGTATAGAGGTAAGAACAAGGCTCAAGGAAATGCAAATGCTTCATCATCAACTGCTACGGTTAACACTACTTCAGAAGCTTTTCCTAGGAGTTCAAATTCCACTTCATTTGGTTTTACTCAGGACCAGTACAAAAACATTCTAGCATTGCTTCAACAATCCAAGCCTACTTTCACTGTAAATTCTGTTTCTACCGCACCTTTTGTCATGCATTCCCACTCCTCCAATGTGAATGGTAAGAATCCTAATATATGGATATTAGATATTGGTGCTACTGATCATTTCTCTTTCAACTTGTCATCTTTTATTGATTTTAAAAACATTGAGCCTATCCATATCAGTCTGCTTGATGGTTCTCAGGTTATTGCTTTTATTTCTGGCACAATTTCCATTTCTTCTTCTTTAATCCTTCAAAATGTGCTTTACATTCCTACTTTCCATGTAAAAATTATTTCTATTGCCAAATTAGTTGATAGCGATAATTGTTTTGTACAATTTAATGTTGACACTTGCCACATCCTGCAGAATCATGCCAAGGCAATGATTGGTATATCTATGTTCTTGATTTTATGTTCTTGATTCTTGTAATTTGTCGTACTTAAAACTAGGCCATATATCAAACATAGGTTTACAAACTGTATCCAAATTTTTTTCATTTCATTCCATGTAATAATAATGTTGTACCTTGTGAATCTTGCCACTTTGCTAAACAAAAGAAACTTCCCTTCCGTAATAGTGTTTCTCATTCTTCTACTCCCTCTACTATTCTGCATGCTGACTTATGGGGGCCTTTCTCCATCATTTCTACTTTAGGACATAAGTATTTCTTGACTCTTGTTGATGATTTTACAAGGCATACTTGGGTAATATTCCTTAAGACAAAAGATCAAACTAAAAATAGTCTTATTCATTTTGTTGCCTACATAGAAAATCAGTTTCACACCACCCTTAAATGCTTAAGATCTGATAATAGTATACAATTTATTGCTTTGTCAGGATTTCTTATGTCCTAAGACATCATTCACCAAAGAACTTGTGTTGAAACACCCCAACAAAATGGGGTGGCGGAAAGGAAACAAAACATATTCTTAATGTGGGCTAGGTCTTTCTTTTTCCATTCTAACATTCCTTTGAATATGTGGAACTTCTGCATCCAACATACTGTTCACATAATCAATAGGTTACCTACACCTCTCCTCAACTCTAAATGCCCTTATGAACTTCTTTTTAATCAAACTCCTTCCTTAATTCATTTAAGAGTTTTTTGTTGCTTGTCATTTGCTACTTCCTTACAAGCCCATAAGGAAGTTACCAAAGGATACATTCTATATGACCTCCAAAATCATACTTTTTCATTTCAAGGAATGTAGGTTTCTATGAAACCACATTTCCTTTCGAACAGGAAGCTTCCCCTTCTGATATAGCTTCAAACCCTGTTCCAACCTTGGATGATCCTCCCAATTACATACTACATCTCTCTCCTAGTCATCATCCTAGTACAACTGATATGTCTTTTCCCTCTGATGTTTTTGCTCCTACCAATGATATTGATGACAATAATGCTGCTAGTTCTCCATTTACTATCAACCTTCCTAGTCCTAGCTCCACCAAAAATAGCCCAGCTGATTTGACTTTTCATAATGACCCCAACCAAGTTGGTCCTAGGCCTTCACCATTTAGTAATGTTGACCTTACTCATTCCCCCACTCTTTCTTCCAATTCGGAACCTGGTACACTTACTGCACCTGCTCCCTTAAATGACCCTAGTCATTCTCTTCTTGGCATTCAACCTATTACAGAGAATACAAGTGCCTTACCCGCTGATTCTTCCTCTGCCATGAATCCATTAGAAGATACTCCTATCTCTTCTCAGAACTCTATAAATCCTACCATTTTATCCATAAGACATTCATCTAGAACATCCCACCCTCCTCAATACTTAAAAGATTATCATTGTTATTTCACTACCTCTAATCATTGTTCCAAAGTTTTATATTCATGTCTTCTGTCCTTACATATGATAATTGTTCTCCATCTTATA